TCTGGTAACAAGGCAAGGCCTGACAGAAGAGTTACATTTACATTATGTAAAGCATATATCAATAAAAACACGTGTCTGTAAAATTTTGGCTGTCAATTAAAAGCTTGAAGGTTGTCTGTAAAAGCCGTTTTCTGAGGCCTAAGGTGCTGCGACAGGAAATGAAAGTAAACATTGTTTACTTTTGTTCCCACCCCTTGTCCCTCCCCTAGCCCCTCAGCAGATTCCTAGTGTGGGAAGAGGAGTAGCTATGTGCTGCTTGGGACAGGATGAGCCCAGTCGGAGCAATGGGGCGTAGCTGCACTTTCTCCCTACCTGCACTGGTCAGTCCCCAGCGGCACATGGGTCTGCTGCTGCTTCTGCTGCCTGGTGCCGACCGGGGTGGATCCATCCCATCCGGAGCAGCACGCTGCTGAAGCTGGATTCCCATGTGCTGCTGGGGACGGGAGGAGCCCGGCCGGGTCAGCACTGGCCAGCAGAAGCGGCAGTGGAGCCATGTACTGCTCAGGACTGACGGATGCAGGTAGGGGGAAAATGCAGCTCAGCCCCTTCCTCTTCGACTGGACTCGTCCCATCCCAAGTGGCACATGGCTCTGCCGCCGCTTCTCCTGGCTGATGCAGACCCAGCCAGGCTCCTCCTGTCCCCAGCAGCTCGTGGGAAGCCAGCTTCAGCCGCATGCTGCTCCGGATGGGATGGACCCAGCAGGTCAGCACCAGCCAGGAAAAGTGGCATGCATGCAGCTGAAGCTGGCTTCCCACATGCTGCTGGGGATAGGAGGAGCCCAGCCAGGTCTGCACCGGCCAGCAGATTAGTATAACGTGACAAGCCTATGGCGGGGGAGGGGTCAGGCTCCCTAGATCTGAGACCTGATGTAGACTATGGCACAGAGACTCACTCTGGAACAACGTGCTAATAAACTTGTGTCTGTACCTGCCAGGAACCCAAGTAGCAGGTGGTTGATACCTGGTAAGCTCATGTGAGTAAAGACTGCTTATTGCTTTCTGTGTGGCCTTCAAAATGTTTTTATCTTACTAAAATATGCCATACTTTGTGAGAGTCATTGCCTCTGTATGAGAAAGCAGAATCATAGCCACTGAACTAAATTAATGCCCCGTGGGAATAATCACAATTCAGCAAAATGGGCGAGAAGGAAAAGCCAGAGTTCTAAGTGTGCACCCTAAAAGAGGCCATGAAAGAGTCAGAAGCACGGCCTTAGAACCAGGACAGCTGTCTGGTGACGGCAGTCCAGTAGGCATCATGGGAATCCTCTACTCTCATGAGATTTAGGAAAGCAAGAGGACATGAAAGCAACCTGTAGGCAGAGACAGTGCAGGGCCTTGGAGCCATGTTAATAAGTGAGGACAACTGTGTTCCCACTCTGGTCAGTGACTGACTGTGGGTACATCTTCACTAGCTTCAAGCCACTCAAACCTGCTGCCAAAAAATAAGCCCTTCCTACCCACTTACACTTTACCTGCTCTGAACTGGAAACGAGGCAGTGATGGCCCTTCTAGGGTGGTCCAAAGGCAGTAGAAGCAGATCACACACATAGAGTGAGAGATGTTCCCAGAATGTCCTCACCACCACATTTCTTCTGAAAAGCAGGGATATCCTGAGGTTCATTTAATGTTTGTAAAATGCTTGGAGAGCCCCACATAGATGCATTGCATAGAAATGCAAAATATATTTTGACCTTTTTGGTTGGCACCTTGGGCTGAGATTTTCAAAGCTGAGTCAAAAGGCCAACTTCCATTAAAATGAATGGGATTTAGTGGGCTCCAAATCTTTTATGACAACTTTGTAACATGCCTATCTACCCCTTTTTGCAAATCTCAGCCATAATTTGGAAGCTCAGCCAAAGAACATAAGAGCATAAAAAGTGCCATGCTTGGTCAGCCCAATGGTCCATCTAGCTCAGTATCCTGTCCCGAACAGTAGCAGAGGGAGAGTTTTGAACTGGTTAGACCCATTTCATTGTCACTTCCCGCAACTTCATTGGTGTTAAAGGTCACATGACATCACTTGCTGATGTGATACCGCTTCCTGTGAGGTCTTTGAATATGGCTCACCGGCCCACTGGGTGATAAAAAGTTCATGATCCAGCCCCACATTCAGAAAGGTTAAACACCCCTGCTCTAAGGCAATAGAATCTGGACTGTATGGGGATGACTTAATGCAAGGGAAGTGTCAGTGCCATATGCTCAGTAAAATGGGTAAAGCTTTGAAGAGCAAGTGAAAAAGACGAAGAGCCATGAAACTTGATGTAAGAGCAAAAAGTGAAGCTAAAATTAAAGATTACTCAGTCTAGAAAAGCTGAAGATCCTGCCATTTAGTCCAATAGCCCGCTATTCACCACCTCCCCTTCCGCTGTTATATTTGGTGAGGCTTGGATAGCTTATGGGCAACACTATATTTAGTAGGGTGCAAGGACATGCCTAAGAAACCACACATTTAGTACAATATAGTGCTTCCAGAGTAAGGCCCCAGGGCAGCATCTGAACTGAACTCAGCATGGTCAGGAAATGTGGCACTGGATTGTAATTTGGTATGACTGGCAAGAGGTGTTTGGTTTGAATCTGTGGCAGATGCAGAATCTTCCTTGGGGAAGATACCCCAGCTGTGAGGTCTGCCTAGTCAACCAGAACAAAGATGGAGCATCTGTCTTGAGGAGCAGATTAGGACTGGAACCATAGTCTTATTTTCATGCAAGAGGATTTCTTTCTACCACTTAACTTTAAGTGTACCCTATTGCTTAAGAATCAGTCAGTATTTCTGCTGTGAACTCCACAACAATTATTGGGCTGCTCTGAAAAGTTCCATCTACAACTGAAGTAGGTGCAGTGCTGTGGGTCTGATTTGGAGTAGTACACACTGAGAGATGTGTGAAGAAGCTTATGTGGAACGTGGTCCCAAGACTGTCTTAATTTAGAAACCCTCCTTTTTATATATGTAATCCTTATTCATATGATTTGTCCTATTGGGACTACTTAAGTGAATAGTGATTACTGTTTTGAGTAAGCAGTTACATCTGGGGCCCTTGGTTTGATGGGTTAGCGTCAGGAGCCTGTTACGTTAATGGGTACCACATTCAAACATAACTATACAGAATAACTCAGAAATCACTTTCCGTTTAATAATTGCTTATATGTGTCATGACAAAATACTGGGGTGGCCAACCTGCAACATACGTGTCATGTGCAGCTTTTGGGTGTGAAATGTAACAGACAAGGAAAGGGATAGGCAAAAGAGTGGCAGATAGGACAGCGAACAGAAAGCACAGCAGCGGATCAGGCATGGAGTAGAAAGCAGCTGATCAGGCAGGAGAAGGGAATTAGAGTGGCACTTGGATGGGGTGCAGGTGTGCTGATTTATGGCACACCTGCCAAAAAGGTTGGCCCTGACTGACTTATTGTTTTCAAACTAAGGATAGTGTCAAATACTTTTAAGCAATAATTACTACTATATTCCCTATGTTGTTTCTGAAATCTCTCTTCTATTTTTGTTCCCTATAGAAGAAAAATTCCATTATTAGGCATTAGTTTGATGGCATTAAGGGAGGTGATATGGTCAGTCAGTGCACAATATGTGCATTTTTACATAAAACAATGTGATTTTTTTTAAGTACAAAAAGGTTTAAGGTTCTGAAGGCTTGTTTCACAGCAGCAAATGAAGTACCTGAGCTATATTGTTTACAATAAAAGCTGAACCAAATCTTTACCCATCACCCCAAACAGAACTTTTGATTTTTTTTATGTTTTGAAAGATTTAGAAATGTGCGATTAGTTCCTAAATTCACTTTTAATTTCTCTTACTTCCAGCTACTAAAAGTATTAAATGCAGTGGTTTATACTGTTTTTAGATTTCTAAATACAAGTGTTGAAATTAGGAGGTGATAGGATCATAGTGCAGAAAAAGTGAAATTGTTTTTTGGAAAATGACTGGATGAAGTCCCCCAATACTGCCATCCCTTGCTGGGAGACAAACTAAGCAGCTGTGCAGGAGCTTATCCAGACCCACAGTGTGCGATTGGAGGGATCTGAATGCCATATACATCCAGATTGCTGTGGTTTAGGTCAGTGGTGCCCAACCTTCAGCCTAGATCTGGATCACAGAGCCATATCATCCAGTCTCTAGTTCTCTCTGGAGGTCTGGATATCTGGCAACAGAAGAGCAGTCGCAGTGTTAATTGCTGCTTCACTGGTGTCAAGTTTCCAGACCTGTGGCGAGCCTGCGAGGCAGATGACATGGCTTTGTACACTAAATCAGGCCAATGCATGGGATCAGTGAGTGGGTAGGTTTGATCTGGGCTCACAGGGCCTGATAGGTTGTGGAGCACTAGTTTAGGTGAAAAGACATATTTGAAAGAGGTTTGCTGCTGACTACCTGGCCATAGGCTGATTTTGCAATAGGGCAGGTATTGCTTTTTAATTAACTTTTGAGAAATAAATCCAGTGTTTGAAGACAAAGCCAGCAACTGATGATTTGTAATAACAAATAGGCCATATTAAACTTGCAATTATTACTTTTTTTACAGCCGTGAAATAAAATGTACTCATATTTTTAAGTTTTGAGTTGGGGGGAGAGGGGTTAAGGAAAACAAAATACCCTCAAAACAACTCTACTATGTCTTTCTTTGTTCTATGCATACATATAGTAAACTGCAGTGGGCAGACACAACAGAATTAGCTATTGCCTCTTAATGGATCTCTTCTCACATATGTCTTTTTAGGACCTTATCCTACAAACATTTATATAAATAACTTTGCATATGCGAGTAGCCCCATTTAATTCAATAAATAAGTATAGGCAGGATTTTTGACCTTTAGATTATAAACACCTCAGGCCAATATTGTTCTTTATTTTGTAACTGAGCTTAGTAATTATGCAAATATATTTGTATGTATATATGTATAAATGTTAATGAGTTGTATTATACAAGTAGATATTGCAGATGTTAAAAGAAAGATCAATATTGATGTTTATTTGTATTTTTATTTTGTAGCTTGGATCATCTTCCTCTGTGCCTTTTACTTCTATATTCTCACAGCTGTTTATGACTGTTGTTGTTCCTCTTATTATTGGACAGGTATGTCTCTACAATATACATTCTCAGATTTTTTAAGAGTAAGATAAAGAGAGCTATCTTGAAGATAGACTGGCAACCCAGTAAGCTGCCACATAGGAAACAGCCTCAGGATAATGGAGTCTGATATTGAAGAAAAGATGCTAGAGTGCTCCCTGGAGCCCCATTGATCTTTGTTGAGATTGAGCATCTGTCCCTCACTACCACAAACATACGCTATTGCATATCGAAAAGGGAGCTGTGAACATAAAGTGGGGGAAATGGCAACCCAAACCGAGAAATTCCAACCTCATACAAATGAGCTTTGAGAATACTGTATAGTTCTTCTGCCGCATGCCCTTTGCCTGGATGATGGAAGAAGTCCTGCCTATGTAGCATCTACTACTAATTATATTAATAAAAATTAGTATATTAAAAGAGTATATCAAGATTTGCAAAGTCAAACACTTATAAATTAGGAAATGCTAGGTTGCCTATGCCTTTGTGCATGTGCGTTATGATACAGGATTTAATTACATGATCACAAACAATTTTTTCCACAGGACCTTATTCTGTACACAGGATGGATGGTGCTCACTGAATGAGCAGCTGTTCAGTATTTCATTTTAGCCTCCATTCACTGTGCGGCACCAGACCTTATTTATGGCATGTGACTGAAACCCTGCAATGAATACAGAATTATTAATTATCTCGTGTTTTTTTCTATGCCACTTGTCACTGTAGTAGCTGAGCGCTTCAGAGATCTTTAAATCAATACACAAGAAAGGGAGGTATTATTTTCTCCATTTACATATGGGGAAATGAAACATGGATATTAATTGTGAAATTCTCAATAATGTTCACTAGTTTTGGATACTAAATTTGAAATTTTTGAAGCCTGCTTTTTTTTTTAAACCTTGGAATTAAAAGATCTTACTAAAGTGCAAATACTGCACTTAGGATGGAACAATGAAATGTACAGGTACAAAATGGGAAACAACTGGCCAGGCTGCAGTACTACAGAAAAGGATCTGTGGGTCATAGGAGGCTGCAAACTACATATGCAGCCCCTGGCAAACATTAATTTAATGACCCAATGGGATCTGATTCCTGATCCCAACAGTTGGATTTCCTGCCATGCCACACATGCATGGCAGGAGATGCAATTTTGGTATCAGGAATCGCATCAAATCATTCCATTACTTCTTGCTGTTGCTCTGGCAGCCCAGGAACCCAGGCTCCCCCTGCATCAGCAAGTTGAGCTTGGGCTGATAGTTGGGTGTTTTTTGACTGTAGCCCAAGTCTTAAACAGGCCGCAGTGTGGTCCCAGAGCCAACAATCAGCTGATTGTCAGCTCTGCCCCCAGACTACACTGGGGAAATGAGCTAGCACTGAGTTGATTGTTGGCCCCAACCCAGACAACCTTGGTTCCCCAGGTCTTTCTGAGTAGGCAGTCAGCTGATTCTTGGGCCCAGCTGGACAGCCCCAAGTCTCAAACCCAAGGTTGTTGTGGCGAGGGCCCACAATCAACTGATTGCCAGAGCTGGCTGAACTACCAGGCACAGGGCATCAGAGGCTCTCAGCAGGGGATGGCTTCACTGCTGGGATTTTTCAATCCCCTGTGCCCAACAGCCTGGTCAGAGCTACTGGGCAAAGGGTTTAAAATCCTCTGTGGGGAAAGTGCCTCCCCACAGCCTTCAGCCAGGGCTAGCGATCAGCTGATTGTCATTGCCAGTACCATTCTAGACCCCAGCTTGGTCCTAGGCCTGGGATTGACAATCAGCTGATTGTTGGCCTTGGCCACACCTTAAATATGTAAGGTGCCATACAAACCACCCATAAAAGTGTCGTACATACAATGTAGAACACCTTTGTGGCTTGTTCCCCTTTTCTGTCACCTTAAATCCAGTGAACATGTAGCACCCTGCCCATTTATGCCATGATTAACACGTTAATTATGGTATAAATGTAACATGTAGAGTGGGCCTCAGTCAGCAGCATAGTAATGTTGGGAGGGAAAAAAAGCTAATCTTTTAGCTGTATTAACATAAAAGCTGTGTATATATTAACAGGACTGTCTCTTTCCAATCATGGGAAATGATTCTTCCATTCTGTTTAGCACTGGTGAAACCTCACCTGAAGTACCGTTTTCAAAATGGGGACAGATAGAAAAAAGTCTGAGGAGAACCACAAACATTATTATAGGTCTAGATTTATGAGGAAAGGCTGGAAGGATTGGAATTAGTCTGGAGGAAAAGAGGGGAGTTTTGGTAACAAAACCGCCGTAAGGACGATGGATCAATTGCTTTCATTCTTCATAAGGGACAGGACAAGATCTAATGGAATTAAATTGCAACATGGAACATCCAAGGATTACTGTTAAGAAGTTTTGGTGGTGATAAGGATGTTTTTAAAATATGGGTTGTCCCTACTATTTCCTTCTGAAAAATGGGCTTTACAATTTTGATTGAAATTTCCCCAAAGAGTTTACTCTGAGCCAGATGCACACAATGGAAAATTTAAATCCCTGTGGTTACATCTTAGCAAAAATATAAAGAAAAAATACCAGATCTCTGTAATGGAAATATTGGACAACCTTAAATTTAAGTATCACTATCAGTGCTACCTACAATAACAATAATAATAAAAGTAAATCACCTCACAAACGGTAACTATTCTTGTTTGATAGAAGTTAAAATCTCATATGACTTGAATGGTAACTGTAGTGACTCAGGGGATACTGATTGCCTGCTGCATAGTATTTTGTGACCCTGATTGTGTAATATGACAGGGGCTAGGTAATGGACCCTAATCAGTAGGACATTTAAGCACATATTTAACTTTAAGCATGCCCCTGCCTCCAGATTTCTGCACCAGTGGTGGGGCAAGAGGCACCAGGCTGCAGCCCAGCTGGAGCTAGGGCCCAGCAGTGGTGACAGCATGATTTCTGTACTGACCACAAGGTGCAGGGATGCAGCCCGGTCAGAGCCAGCTCCCGGCAGCACTGGGGGCAGCCGTGGCTTGGAGTTGTGCCTCCCTTCCTCCCCCCTGCCGACAACATTTTCATGTCATCTCTGACCATAACAACCATAAAGATAAGTATCGACCCCAGGGTTGATGTTTCTTTTCATGCCTGCCCGGGGCAGGGGGTCAGACTAGATGGCCCACTGAGGTTCCGTCCAACTCTATGAATCTATCTATGAATCTTACAGACATTCCTATGCATCTCACCTTTAATACATATTATCAGAGCGATAGTCAGAATATGTAAACTGAAAGGGGCTAGGCAGAAAGCTGAAAGATGAGGTTGTGCTACTTCTAAATTTCTTAGAAGCAAACTGTATTGCAGCAAAACTGGAGAAAGTGAAATCCTTAATGGTGCCAGGTGCAGAAGTCCTGGAGACGTTAGCAATCTCTGCTACAGTCTGATGTGAGTCAGAAGAGGACTGCCAACTGGTAAATAAAGTCACTATAAATTTGCAGGAGTACTTTGATCTATTCACAAAGGGATGTTACTCAGGAAAGACGCATTGTATTACAAGAAACCGACAGGCAGGTGATATCACTGAATATTTGTTTACAGACCTGTGTAATAAATTTAAGTCCTGTGAGCTTGAGTAGTAAGCAGATGAACTAATTAGAGACCGAAGTAATTTAAAACTCGGATTACTTATTATATAACTGAGCACCAAGCCGAAACAAGAATGATTGTGAGAAGCATGCATGACTTATAGGAAACATACTATAAAGAGAATGAGCAAACAGTAACAGCAAGGTGATTGGGAAGAAATCTTTGCTGTAAGGAAGACTCAAGTGCTAGCTATTTTCAAAATATAGTGCAAACTGGGGGAAAAATTATTCTCATTTACAAGTGCTTAAGTGTGTTTATTGATTAAAAGCCAGCAAAAATAGCCCAAGGACTTCTAAGCATGAGCATTTTAAAACTGAAGGTACTGCATTCTGTAGAATATGTGCAAACAACACTGTCATGGAAATGCTAAGTGTAATCTACAGTGTCCATCTCAGAATGGAGAAGTGTAAGACGAGACCAACATTTTTGTATTCCAGACAGGAATTCATGCTCTCATTGAAAGTTAGGTATCCAGGTATGTGACTGCAGTAATTGCAGGAAAAAAAATCCAAGAGAACCACCAACACCAGGTGATGTTTCTGATTGCCCTTCATCCAAGGTTGGCACAAATCTATTTTTGAAATAAATGGGAAGGATTACCTCTCATTTGTGGGCTGCTACTCATTTTTTTATTGAGCTGTTGCACAACATGCTGAGTAACAATGTAATAACGCTTTGTAAATCACCATTTGCTCACCATGGGATTCTAGATGCATTAAGAGATAATGGCCCACAAGTCATGAGTGACACATTTCAGCAATTATCCTTAATTTATCAGTGCATGCCCACCATGTCAAGGCCTTACTATGCACAGTCAAACTGTTCAGCAGAAAAGTCTGTCCACAAATATACAGTAAGATTGCCCAATAAGAAAGGACCTTATTTAAAAAAAATCAAGCTTGTAAATGGCTTCTTTAAAGGGTCTCCTTTCTCTCCAAGCCATATTGGCTCAGTTGTGACTGCCAGAACCTTAAGCTTAAGCCTCTTCATTAGAAAACAGATTGGTTGCAGGTATAGTATTCTTCATTTCCTTTTAAAATGCTCTGCCCTTAGAAAAAGCCTAAAGAGTCCCAATTTGTTAACCTTCTGGGCATGCTGTATAGTCTATTTATTTGAGCAGCAATTGGCAGATAAATGGCACATATGGTGTTTCTTGCTAATTGACTGCATCAGATTGTTGTCGATTTTGGTTAATATTATATTATGTTATTTTATTTCATTAAAAAAGCAAACTATAACAGTACATACTGATCCCTCCCGTGTACTGAGGTAATATTTTTCACAACCTGGACCCATGTCATGTTGCAGCATCCATTAATTCCAGTGGTTACTGTTGTACACAAGGTCCACTTTTCAATTTGTGATCACATTAATTGAACATTTGGGCAACCTG